GTCTAAGAGATGAACTTAGGCGTGAACTTTTCTTTCGAGGCATCACTACTCTTGATCAAGCTTACTCTTCAGCTCGGGACTACGAGTTACTTATTAGTATTCCATATGAAAAGCGCGACCACCATCGTTCTCCCATGTCATTAGATCCACCTCAACATGAGTCTGTCATAGAGCCTTCCCTGTCTAGTGTTCCTCCCATTTGGAAAAATAAGTGTAAACGCCATGATAGTCCAAGGCCCCCTTCTCCTTATAGAAGGCGTATTGACAACCATTCTTCCGTCTCATTGGCTCCACCTCCTCCTGTTAAGTCTCTTCTAAGACCTTCCCCGTCTAATGTTCCTCAAATCTTGAAAAATAAAGGTAAAATTTTTGAAACTCCAAGGACTTCTTCTCACTTGATATGTATTCGCTGTAAGGACTTTGGCCACATCTCTTCCAAATGTCCTAACCAAGCCTTAGTCATAGAAGCACGAAAGGATATAATAGAAGAGTCGTTAAAAGATCAAATCTATGAACCTAAATTTGAAGAATGTGATGACTTGAATGATATTGAGGATACTTCCTTATGTAGTATCAGGACTTTTCCTATGAATCTAGGGGTTGTACCCCTTGTTCCCGATACCCCTCAATTAAATGTTGTGTGTCATACTCTTTTCCAACCCAAAGGTACAAATGATTTGTGTAATCATGTCCTTTTCAAGGAAAATTTTGAGAATTGGGATTTGATCCTCCCAATAATTCAAAGTGCATATAACAATTTTGTGCTTCAGTTTATCGGTACAAGTTCCATTGAAGTTATTCATGGTTATAAGTCTAAGAAACCTTTAGACCTTATTCTAATGTCCCCACATACTAGTATGTTTGTGTCAGCTGAGGCATTTGTACGTCATCTTCATCACTTGCATATTGAGATCAATAAACAATTTGAAGCAAGTAATGCATTAGATAAACTTCAAGCTGATTTGCATAAGAGAAATTTTGAATTTAATATTGGGGATTTTGTTATATTGTAAGCATGTAGTGCTGGTCCTTGTGAAATTTTAAAGCATGTTGGTTCAAATACATGTGTCATTGATCTTTTATTACATTTTGACCACCATTTTATTTTAACTGTTAAGGACTTTTTTGCTTACCAAGGCTATTTTAATCCCTCTAATGATCATTTTCTACATCCACATGGGAATCCCTACACTGAACCTTATGCTATGTCTGCTCCAATACCACTTATCACAACACACAAAGATAAAATTGATGTTATTTTAGATGATCAGATTGTGTTGACCAATAATAAAGAGGTTCATTTAGTATTTTGGTTTGTTTCTTTAAAAAAAAATTACTGTTCACATGTACTGTTCAGGCAAAAAAAAAATTCTCGTTTTTTTTTTTACTGCTGCTGCTCATAAATAAAAAAAATTGTAGTATTCCACAAATCCCAAACCCTAGCATTCAAGCCCACTTAGCCCTTCAGCCCATATATTCCATCTCTATAACCTAATTCATTCATTTTTTTTATCAAAACACTTGGGTCATAAGCTAGTGGCCCAAATTACTCCCAAAGCCCAATGACACACAGCCCATCTCTCATCATTTATTTAGCCAATCAACTCGCTTTTCAGCCCAATACACACCAAATCCAACCCATTTATCACATATTATCACAACCGGCCCAACACCATCCAACCCATAACCGGTCCCAAATTCGCTCGGCCCATAACCCTAGCCCATTATATACAACACTTAACCTAGCCCACATCTACAATATCCAATCAACCCAAGCCCTAAACTCCTCCTTCCCCGTCGGTATCCCACAGTCACCACACTCTCGGCGACCGTCCTCACTGCCAATCGCCAGCAACCCATTGCCACGCTAGTTGTCACCACCACCCGGAGTTCAGTTTTCGCTTTATTTTTCACATCGGTGGACTTCTTCTGAGTTCAGAGTGCCAGGGACATTTGTTGAATTGGATTTGGCCTATTATTTGCATTGGGGCAGCTTGTTAAAACTCTTGAGGATTAGTGTTCCATTCAGCGACTCGATTGTTTAGGAGTATACCATTATAATTTTCTACTGGAGACGTGCCAACTGGGAAATCATAATTGGGCACAGTTCTGATTCTTTGGGTCCTGAAGTACATCGTCATCAGGTTTAAGCTTCCGTGGACACCATCGCTGTAACTAAACAACAGGGAGTGTTTGATTTATATTTGTTATTGGTTTACAATGCTGCTTCATTTAAAATTGCATTAATTAAATTTTTGTGATGTTATTCTAACAATATACCTAACGTCACATGACTGAATCCGTTGATTTCGTAAAAATCCTATTTTACCCCACTTATATTACATGATTAGGTTTTGACTATTATTTGATCCGTACTTTGTTATTTTACCTAGATCAGCAGTATTAGCTTGCCATATTTGAATTTATTTAACCCTGAAAAAAATGCTTAGTTTGTTATTTTTCATTTCTTACATTTATTGTTCATTGATCTCATCATTGCACGTCATTTAGCTGGTATTAAATTGCATGTAGTTGCGTAGTGGTCATCTTGTCGTCTCCATTTCCAATACATTGACCATGAATACATCCCCATTTGATGCACTCACTAGACAATTAGTGCAACTTGCCACTAGCCTATCGATTGTCCAATCAGATATAACTGCTACTCGTGAGGAGAGAGAGAACCTAGCTGCTAAGTTGAGCAATTTTAAGCAAACCCCTCGTTTGACCGACACTAATTCTGAAACATCTCATAAGAGACAATATCATCGTAGACAAAGTGATCAAAAATATTTTCGACGCAATCGTAGGAATAGGGATCGGGTTCGTAAGCGAGAACAAGGTCATGGTTATCATAGTACTCATTATCTTCCTCGTCGTAAGAGCGTTTCTTTAGAGACATTGACTTAGATACTCTTACTTTCGATAGTTGCTTAGATCATGAAATTTTTACCCAATGGAACACCCTTACACAAGAGAATCGGCTAATGACTGAGTACATTGCTCAATTTGAGAAATTTCGAGTGAAATGTCATGTCGTTGAGGATGAGGCCCTGACTTTAAGTAGGTTTATACAAGGTCTAAGAGATGAACTTAGGCGTGAACTTTTCTTTCGAGGCATCACTACTATTGATCAAGTTTACTCTTCAACTCGGAACTACGAGTTACTTATTAGTACTCTATATGAAAAGCACGACCACCATCGTTCTCCCATGTCATTAGATCCACCTCAACATGAGTCTGTCATAGAGCCTTCCCTGTCTAGTGTTCCTCCCATTTGGAAAAATAAGTGTAAACGCCATGATAGTCCAAGGCCCCCTTCTCCTTATAGAAGGCGTATTGACAACCATTCTTCCGTCTCATTGGCTCCACCTCCTCCTGTTAAGTCTCTTCTAAGACCTTCCCCGTCTAATGTTCCTCAAATCTTGAAAAATAAAGGTAAAATTTTTGAAACTCCAAGGACTTCTTCTCACTTGATATGTATTCGCTGTAAGGACTTTGGCCACATCTCTTCCAAATGTCCTAACCAAGCCTTAGTCATAGAAGCACGAAAGGATATAATAGAAGAGCCGTTAAAAGATCAAATCTATGAACCTAAATTTGAAGAATGTGATGACTTGAATGATATTGAGGATACTTCCTTATGTAGTATCAGGACTTTTCCTATGAATCTAGGGGTTGTACCCCTTGTTCCCGATACCCCTCAATTAAATGTTGTGTGTCATACTCTTTTCCAACCCAAAGGTACAAATGATTTGTGTAATCATGTCCTTTTCAAGGAAAATTTTGAGAATTGGGATTTGATCCTCCCAATAATTCAAAGTGCATATAACAATTTTGTGCTTCAGTTTATCGGTACAAGTTCCATTGAAGTTATTCATGGTTATAAGTCTAAGAAACCTTTAGACCTTATTCTAATGTCCCCACATACTAGTATGTTTGTGTCAGCTGAGGCATTTGTACGTCATCTTCATCACTTGCATATTGAGATCAATAAACAATTTGAAGCAAGTAATGCATTAGATAAACTTCAAGCTGATTTGCATAAGAGAAATTTTGAATTTAATATTGGGGATTTTGTTATATTGTAAGCATGTAGTGCTGGTCCTTGTGAAATTTTAAAGCATGTTGGTTCAAATACATGTGTCATTGATCTTTTATTACATTTTGACCACCATTTTATTTTAACTGTTAAGGACTTTTTTGCTTACCAAGGCTATTTTAATCCCTCTAATGATCATTTTCTACATCCACATGGGAATCCCTACACTGAACCTTATGCTATGTCTGCTCCAATACCACTTATCACAACACACAAAGATAAAATTGATGTTATTTTAGATGATCAGATTGTGTTGACCAATAATAAAGAGGTTCATTGCTTTCTTATTCATTGGATAGATCGACTTGATTCTGATGGTACATGGGCCCCCGGAAAGAGACTTCAACAGCGTGATCCAGATTCGTTGGAACTTTATAGGAGTCCGTCAGATCTTCCTTCACCCAGTTTATCTTTGTCAGATCATATTCTGGGAAATAAGTCGCAATTTTCATTATTATCAATCATGAAATTTCGATACTTGGTTCGTCAGAAAGATCGCCCTCCATGGCATACCTTGAAGCATTTTGGGTATCAAATTGAATACAACCTCCTATGATCTATCAACTCGACAGGGTCGAGTTTTTCTCCCACCCTGGGAGAATTGATAAGGACATCCAGTTTATTTATTTATTTCTAGTCAAACCTTATTTCATTTTGGACCTTGTTCATTTTCGAAGACTTTATTTTGTTGTGGATTTTTTATTGGGCTTGTATTGGCCCAAACCTATTCTAGTTAGGGTTTGGTTTACTATTTAAACTTACTTTTCATGTAACTTCATTAGTTGATAATTGAATAAAATTATTTTGGTGGCTTATGGCGCATCCCTCTCCTTCTTCTGTTAAATTCTTATTCTCCCCCCCCTAATTCCCTATTTTTTATGAATCTGTCGTCTTTTTTTACTAATCATCTTATTGGTGCGGCATCAGATCTCCTCAAAGAAGCGATCAGATCGCAGTTTTCCCCCAAAAAAGTTCGAGTATCGAGCTCGACGAGCACTTCGAGACCTGAAACATACAGGCTCTATCAGAGAGTATGTAAAAGCTTTTCAAGGCATATGCTGAATATTCGAGATATGTCGGAAAATGATAAGCTCTTCACCTTTATGGAAGGGTTGAAACCGTGGACACGCACGGAACTTCAGAGACAGAAGGTTACTGATTTGAGCACGGCTATGGGAGCAACCGAATGTTTGCGATTGCTAAACGGAATCCAGAAAAGATCGACCTTCGAGGAGTAATCAAGCAATTGGAGGTGGTAACAGACCTTACAGACCCAGCTCGAACCCAAATGGGGGAAAGCATTACTCTCAGAATAAGAGAGGAGCCTATCAAAGCACCCGTAGTTTTCAGAGAAATTATCATAATAGCCGTCAAGAAAATTATAACGGCAGCAACAGTAACAACTGGAACAAAGGAAAAGCAATGGAGGGCTGAACTGATGCCACTCCCAAATTGATGTGATTTTTATGCGAAGGACCTCATAGGGTGTCAGAGTGTCCTCAGAAACGGATGGTGAATGCATATTGTCAGCTAGCAAGTGGCGGGTCAAATTCAAAGCAAGAGGCCCCACAAGCTAGTTGTCCTGGTGAGATCGACTCCGAAGAGGATGAATACGTAGTTGGGGCATTTTCACATCGGTGCAACACACTATCGCATCGGGTTGCTAAAAAGGATGATGTCCCCTTGAAAGAGGCAAGGATGGAAGAAGCGAAGGTTCGAATTTGTAGGGCCAAAGGCTTAATGTACATTGATGTGAAGATTAATGGGAAGTCAATCAGGGCTATGGTGGATAGTGGTGCTACCCACAACTACCTTGCATGTACCGAAATAGAGCGACTCGGACTTGTTCCGGAAAAGGGTAGTGGAAAAGTTAAAGCAGCCAACTCCATTGCTCAACAAATAGCTGGAGTGGCGAAATCAATGTTGATCAAAGCAGGTCCCTTCGAGGGAAGGACAAATTTATTTGTAGTTCAGATGGATGATTTCAAGCTTATTCTAGGATTGGAATTTTTTCAGGATACTAAGACAGCAGTGTTGCCGTATTCCAATTCGTTAATGATAATGGGTAATAAGTTGTGTGTCATCCCCACACAAGTTTGGAGGATGGGCGAGAAGAGTATCTCAGCCATGCAATTTAGTAAAGGTTTCAGTAAAAATGAACCTTCTTTTTTGTGCACTCTTCGATTAGAGGAGATCGAAGAGGCAACTGGTCCTATTCCAAAACCCGTTAAAAGACTTATTCGAGAATTTGAATACATCACGCCTGACGAATTACCAAAGAAATTACCACCAAGAAGGACGATTGATCATGGAATTGAACTTATTTCAGGTGCCAAACCTCCTGCCAGGGCACCATACCGTATGTCTCAGCTTAAGGTTGAAGAGCTTAGGAAGCAATTGGGAGAAATGTTGGAGAGTGGAATCATTGTGCCTGCGAAGTCATCATATGGAGCTCCTGTGTTGTTTCAGAAAAAGGTCGATGGTTCACTTAGAATGTGCTGTGACTATCAAGCCTTGAACAAGATCACTATAAAGAATAGCTATCATATCCCACTAGTTACGGATTACTTTGATCGACTGAGTTGAGCGAAGTATTACACAAAAATTGATCTTAGGTCTGGATACTGGCAAGTTCGGATCAAGGAGAGAGATGAAGCAAAGACTACAGTGGTAACCAGATATGGAACCTTTGAATTTAAAGTGATGCCTTTTGGTTTGACAAACGCTTCAGCAACGTTTTGTACTATGATGAATCAGGTACTTCACGGGTTCTTAGATGATTTTGTCGTGGTGTACTTGGACGATATAGTAATCTACAGCGAGACATTGGAGGAACATGTCCAACATGTGAGGCAAGTTTTTAATCGGCTACGGGAGAATGAACTCTATGCCAAACCGTCTAAATGCTCATTTGCTCAGACATCTATCAATTTCCTGGGTCACATCATTGAACAAGGTAAAATCCGCATTGATTCGATTAAGGTTACAGCCATCAGAGATTGGCAACCACCAAAAACCGTATATGATGTACGTTCATTTCTTGGGTTATGCAATTATTATCGAAGATTTGTGAAAGGCTACTCAGTAATTGCACTGTCACTTATCGAATTGACAAAGAAGGATGAGGATTGGGATTGGTCATCCCAATGTCAAACTTCTTTTGAAAGGTTGAAGAAGTCCATGTGGACAAACTTGATTTTAGCCTTACCGAACATGACTAAACCACTTGAAGTTCATATAGATGCTTCATATTTTGCACTTGGTGGAGTCCTTATGCAAGAAGGACATCCGATAGCATATGAGACCCGGAAGTTAAACCAAACAGAACGTCGTTACTCAGCACATGAAAAGGAATTGTTGGCTACTCCACTGTCTCAGAGGATGGCGTCATTATTTGCTTGGGTCTCCATTTATTGTGAAGACAGATAACACTGTAGTTAGTCACTTCATGTCTAGCAAGTAGGCTCGTTGGCAGGAATTTCTTTCGGAGTTCAATTTTATGCTAAAGTATCGTCCCGGATCTAATAATCATGTTGCTGATGCTCTTAGTCGATGGGCCAATTTGGCTGGCATTTGCTCCGTGACTAATCTTTCAGGGAGCTGTCACCACAAACACGAGACCAAATTCGAGCACTTATGGAGAAGGACCGAGCTACTCAATATTTGGTCGACCTCATCAAGCAGGGTAAAACTCGACAGTTCTGGCCCGATGGGGAGCTAGTGAAGATAAAGGAAGACCGCCTATATATTCCTAAGAGCGGAGATATGAGGAAAATCACTAATTACGGAATGCCAGGACACGATTTGGGTAGGGCATCTCGGAGAGAAACGTACTTGTGCACTACTGTAACGTGCATACTACTGGCCTCAAATGCGAGATGACATTGCAACCTATGTAAAAACCTGTCTTATTTGTCAGCAAGATAAGGCAGAGCATCAGAAAAAGGCGGGCTTGCTGGAGCCCCTTTCCGTCCCAATTCGGCCATTCGAAAGTGTATCGATGGGCTACATTATTGGGTTGCCAAAAGTTATGAATTTTGGCACTATCATCGTCGTGGTGGACCGTCTATCAAAATACGCAACTTTCATTGCAGCGCCTAAGTATGTATTCGCGGAAGAGACAACTCAACTCTTCTTCAAACCTATTGTCAAATATTGGGGACTGCCTAAGGATATCGTCAGTGATCGAGATCCTCGTTTCACTAGCATATTTTGGACTGAGTTGTTCAAACTTCTTGGTTCAACTTTGAGCATGAGTTCTACTTTTCATCCACAATCTGAGAAACAGAAGGAGCGCTTCAATTCTATGCTAGAAGAATATCTTCGACACTTTATCTCTACTTCGCAAAAAAACTGGGTAAAACTTTTGGATGCGGCTCAGATTTGCTTCAATGCCCAAAAGAGCTCTTCCACCAATAAGAGTCATTTTGAGATTGTTACTGGCCAGCAACCGCTACTCCCTTATACAGTGGATATCGAACGAAGTACCAAGTCTCCTCAAATGAAAAACTTTTCTCAAGAGTGGAAACGAAATATTGAAATTGCTAAGAGTTATCTTGAGAAAGCTCAAAAACGGTATAAAAAGTCTGCAGATCTAAAGCGTCGTTTCATCGAACTCAATATTGGAGATCTGGCAATGGTTAAGCTTCCCGATAGAAATATTTACAAACTAACAAGAGGAAAGGACTCAAGATTAGCGCCAAAATGCATTGGACCATTACCCATTGTGAAGAGGATTGGAAGAGTCGCATACAGAGTTGAACTCCCTTCATGGTGTAAAATCCACAAGGTCCTTCATGTTAGTGTGCTGAAGCCATATTTTGTAGATAAGGAAGACGCATCTAAAAATGAACCAAAGCGACCTTTGTTTGAACTGAAGAAAGCTGGAAAGAAAGTTGCTAAAGCTATTCTTGACCATCGAATCACTCAAACTTCTAGAAAAGATCATCAAAAGTACTTGGTCAAATAGATTGGATGCAGCAGAGAGGAGAATATTTGGGAAAGAGAAAAGGATTTTAGAGCCTTCAAATCATTAATTGAAGCATATCATGCATTGATGGCATCGAGAACGTCACCAAAACAAATGGGGGAGAATATCAAGGACCGCAGCTTTACTTAGCCCCTTGACACTATCGCAGCCGCAGTTTTCCCAACTTCGACCGCACATTGTAAATATTAGTTCAAGTTTGAATTGTAATTTTCTTTTCATTATAATAGTTATTTCAGTTGTAAAATAACTTTGATATTAGTAAACGTTTATTATGATTCCTTGTCTTTTAAACGTCTACTCCTGTCACTTAGATTTTTCTTCCGAATGCTATTATAGGGGTATTAGTCATTGAAAAATCTTCCAAGTTCACTGGTGTCCGTCCCCTGCACCAGCAATTGTAATTTTCTACTCTTGTCAATTGTAATGTTCAATTTTCATCAATTAATGTTCAATTTACTTTCAATGTATTCAAATTCTCTGTTGTAAGTTTTCTACAAAATTGTAATCAAATTTTCTTTCGTCCCGACGTGATCGAGAAAAGGCGGAAGGTAGTCTAGCGAAGCAGACTACTGCCGCACGGTATCCCTTTTTGTGCCAAGAGGAAAGGAACCCCGTGAAAATAGGTCTTGATAATTACGTGATTGAACCATAGAAGTTGCTGGCAATAAGAGAACTTTGTGTGTCAAAATGAATTTTCTATCTAAGTTTAGTTTGTATCTTTTAATGATTATTGTGCATTAATTGATCTTATTGTTTCACTACTCAATCTAAAGTCTCAATTCAAATTTAAGTTACAAGAGACAATTCACCGAACAAATTATCTGGGATTATTTCACATAATCTATGCATAACATAGAACGCAGGATAAATAAAATAAAAGCTTTCCTTAGATGAGTTACTAAAATTTATCTATATATAAATACCAGTATCTCCAGTGTATGTTTTTACCAAAGCAAACAAGCAGCACCTGAATTTGAACAAAGCATAAGGAAAGTCATTGATGTTCTTCAAATACAAATGATATTCATTGACATCATCACAATTTCCATCTCATATGTGTTTCCATTAAATCCATCCAGCTCAATATCTTCAACTCGGGATAACAAGCATTCAGACACTATTTCTAGTTAATTTGGTTAAGAATATCGCTGTCGATTTCGGTTAAGAACATCCCAGAAGGCAAGATTGGTCAGCAACATAACATTGAAGATTCCGTTACTTGAGACAAGTTAAAAGAAATATTAAAAATTTCCTAAAACTTCTCATCACCACTCTACCTCGAATAATATGAGAGATTCTAGATTGGGGCAAACATTTAGGAAAGAATAGAAGACATATATATGGAAAAAGAAAGAGGTCTTACAGCTAAGCAATCTTCGTTCATTGATAAGGATTGTAAGTTGCGAAAAGCCCAGAGAAGCTCAGCAGCAAGGTTGCCAAAAATATTTCATCTGCAGCACCCTGTCTCATATTCAGTTTTGCTTCAACCACAGATGTCAGATTCTCCACAACATATTCTGCTTTAAACATATCAATAAGCTCCAGGAATTTGAGGTTCGGGGCATTGATGACAAATTTATATTTCAGCCCCTCGAAGTCCCATGCTTGTAACTTTATCTTCAATCTCTTCAAAAGCAGACAGGAAATATTGAATTTAGTTTCACTTCTTACAGTTCCCTCTATTGTTAAATCCTCTAGTACTGGGCAACTAGAGAAAAGCTTTTCCGAGAGGTCACTTGAATGATAGAAAAGACGAGTACGAAGTTTTTTCAGATTTGGAAGATCAAAGGTAGGAATATCCTCGGGGTCTAATAGTATAACATTCGACTTGAGGTCCAAAGCAGTCAAGGTTTTCCATGTGAAGACACAATGAGTAAAAAGAGGTCCCTCGAGTCTGAGTTCAAGAATATTGCGCTTAAATAGTTCATCCGTGCACGCATCAAGGCACAGAGTACAAATATTACTGTTCACGGTCAAAGAGAACTTATTGATCTTTTTTGACGAGCAACTACACGAGACATGCAATGCTAGCAGGATTCATTTCATCTGAAATATTTTCCTTAAAATCAAAACTGGTAATAAAAGTCCAGAGGTACTGCCACCTCTTGGACAGAATGCTAGTTTGAACTGCATATTTTGTTGGAAGAAATGACAGAATATGACCGATGATCTAATCTGGCAAGAAGCTTATTCGATCTCCTCCCCTGATTCTCATTGTTTTGGATTTTCTTTCCCTAAACCTAAGAAAAAAAGGTAAGAAATAACAAGAAATTAGGCTGATAAATAATCAACTAGCACAAAAGGTAAGAATTTAAGAAATTTATGTCGTCTAGCTATTTAAAAGAGGCCTAGGATTAGAATTAATAAGAGCAGTTGATCAAGTTTGCGAAAAAAAAAGAGAAGGAAAAGTACGAAGGGTGACCTAATCAATCAATCAGATTTTCTTAATGCAGCCTTTGGAAGCTAACAGATAAACTTGTAACCCAAGGGGGGAAAAAAAAACACTGGCGCAGTTTAGGAATGAGAATGTGCTCTTTTCAAAAGTCTAATGATGATAAAGTTGAAGCGTAAATTATTAGATCTAGGTTATTGTCACTTTTAAGTAATCTCTTCATCACACTGTTCATAGATGGAGGGAACGAAAGCAGCTGACCGTGTTGCACGGTGAAGATATTTGTGAGTAAGCAGAGTTGATGAATTTGTCCAAGGATTTAGAATTGATTATGGGCTACAAATAGGCACAATGGTCAGATATGCTTAACAAGTATGGATGCATTTTTCCTTCACAAGGTGAAGCTTAATCCTCGAGTCATTTTCAGACGTAGGCATCCCCTTGAAACAAAAAAGGTGAAAAAAATGATTATTATGCAAAATAACCTCCTAATAAATCATAAACAATCTTCAAAAGTTAGGACTCAGATATGTCGGAGACACGTCAATTTAAATTCTATAAATTTTAAATTCATGTGTTATACTTTATAATTACACTTTTTAATATAGGACCCAGCTATACATTCGGATATTTGACCAAGGAGTGTTTCCGAAGTATTCTTAATGTTAGTAATTTAAAAGATGTAACAAAAAGTAGGACAAGAGCACATTCTTATGGGATACATGTCTGTGGGTGTTGGAGTCCGACACGTTGCTACGTGTGAACACACACAACGCCCAAGTGGAAGTGTTCATGCCTCATAGGACAAAAGAATCATAGTTTAAACTTCCATAAACTAGCCAAAAGTCGTTACCTTTATCCATAGTCATAAGAACCATATCAGATCGGAGAACCAAACAGTGATTCGATTGGATGGTATTAGTTGGTCCATTCGCCAAGAACCGGTCAAGAACCGCTCAGAAATTTACATAATTGTCCGAGTCAGACTGTTTCAGAAAAAATCGAAACCAGCTTAACGTGAACCGATTTTTTACGAAATTGGTCCACAGCAAAATTTTATATCAAATTTGAACATGGAGAGATTTGAACCACACAGCTTCTATGGAAGGTTAGGTCTTGACCACTATGGCACTTGCAGACTTTTTACAATTAATGTAAGTGAAATATATATTTAATTTTAGAAATATGACAAAATGAAACTTTAGATTGCCGGATAAGAATTTTTCATTGGCCATGTCATACTCGATAGTGAGAAGTACCATGTTATTTTTTGTGCTGGAAATACTCTACATCGAGCTCTTGTTACTTACAAATCATTCCTCGACAAAAAGAGAAATTGGTTCAAGAACGGATTTTTTGAAAGGCGTATGGCCTGGTACCATACTTGGATGATAACATATCTAAGTTCTTGTTAAAAATGAGAGACTGTCGCTAACTACATCTGAGTAACCAATCAACGCTGTATATATTAGCTTAAAAGATAACATTAGTGAAATTTGAACAACCTGAAATATGAAAAGCTAAAAAGCTCAAGAATATTATCTAAAATAACTTGGATATTGATGAATATGAGTTGTGATTACAAACAAGTCTAGTCTTCTTCATATATAGACATTGGAAGAAGAGGTAATCACCTAATTCTAGTAGAATAAGTAAAATAATAATTCACTCCTACTAGAAGTATAAACTATAACTAAATAACAAAACTAATAAATACTTGGAATCATAATCACTAACAATTAAATCTTAAATTAATACTACCTCTTGTCCCATGAATATATTCATATTTCTTTTTTCACAGAAAATCTAGTTAATATAGTTGAAATAATAAATTTTACTAATATTTTTTCTAATATACCCTACATCAATGCAATCAATGTTTAAGGTAATTAAATTATGCGATGCAATGTTCAAGGTAATTAAATTATTCTTGGTACCAATGGTAATTAACATTGCAAAATCGTCTAACATGAAAGCAATATAAATTGCCAAAACGTGAATATTCAAATTTTATCCCAAAAATAATAATAATAATAAAAATAAATAAATAAATAAATTCAAATTGATATGAACCTGACATTTTTCAATAATTTGTGTTCACTCGCCAAGTTTGTTTTCAATTTTTTTATTGAACTTTATAAATAACCGCATGTAGCCGGATACAATCACGAGTAAAAAAAATGAATAGTTCATCACAGACTTCAATTGGTTTGAATGTTTTGCCATCAATATTCCCCAACCAAATTATATCTATTTACTTTCATCACAAAATGCTTTGATGACTTGAATCATTCTCTTCAAGACGTTAACAATACCTTGACAACGCTAGAAGATACATGTCATCAAAACAAAAAAGAAAATTTTCACTTGCGATAAAGAGAGAGAGAGATCTTCAAAAAGCTACTCCAAGATGGAAAGTCACCAAAAGGAGTCATTTCAAAAGTTGCCAACTCTTTTTTTTATATCTACAAAACTAGTTTCTCGAATTTGGCATAATGCAAATTATTTTATTATAGCAAATGATGATCTACCAGATTTGCTTCAAATCTTGAGAAAAAGGTTGGTCGCAAAAGAGTTCAAATAGACCTAGATGGAATGAAAGATATCCCTTTCCATCATCGAATAAATATAAGATCCTTGTCAAATGCGTTGAATGTACCAAAATCAACTTACATAGAAGAATCAAAGAAAGATATATTTGGCCGCGCTATCTCCCATGAAACCATATTTGATAGATGACAAGAAGAAAGCAAGGTTGGAGTTTTGCTTGCCAGTGATTAACGAAGGTACACTTGCAGCTAAGCCTTTCTTTGTTAATATGCACAACCAAATTTATATTGATGCAAAAACTATGCTTTGAATAGTATTTTTATTTCTTATTTTTTTTAGAATGCGTGGTTAAAAGTAGGGAAAAGTTTTGGGTTTACGTGTAAAATATTTTATTGTTTGAATGTGTGGTTGAAAATGAGTATAAGAAATAAATTAAAGGCCACCAAATGGGAGGGCTAATTGTTCTAGGATTATCTTTAGAAATATTGAAGAAACATGGATGGTCTTTCAATTTCTTATTCGTGGTTTAAGACAATGATAACAATAGATGATGGTGGGCCTTTTTTATACTCCAAATACAAGTGTCATGGAAGATGAAAACTTTTTTTGGTTTTTAATTTATTGTTTTAACTACAATTGAATAATTGAGTGGTTTATATTTGTGATAACAAATCACATTAAATAGGAGCATATTAGGAAACTAATATATTAGCTACACTCTCAAATAATAAATAGGACTATAAATTGGTATAGACGAAAAAGGAAAACATGACCATCTTTAAGGGGCAGAGGTAGAAGTAATAATTGACATACGGTAGAATTGTCCTACATCAATCTCCGCATCTGAAGAAACTCATGCGCAAGTTTGGTTGAAGAAGAGAAAATTAATAAATCAAAAAAATATTCCAAAATTTTCACCATCAAAATTGTGAGGACTCAAACCTAGCTTGAACTCTAGAAAAATCTCTAGCTACTTGTAGTGTCATGATCTCGTTAAAGCGACCAACATTCATGGCAATAAAAATCTGCAACTTTTTGCCGCGACATCTTCAAACCTATCCATCCTTTGTTCCAAATTTTAGATGGAGCTTGATAGTTTTTAATCCTCTGAATATTGTCACGAGGATGCATATTAGTGACCATCGGGGAAGGACAACCTTGCTTTGATGCCGATTTTATTGAAGAAGTGAAATTTGAATCTTATAAAACAAGAAAAGCCAAAAAGCTCAAGGATATTATCCAGAATAACTTGAATATGATAAAATATAAGTTGTGATTACA